ACATAAACAATAACCTCATTTTATGTAAACCTTGACAAAAAGATACTTAAAAGTTATATCTCTGTCACGTTGGAACCATAATTCAGTTTTTTTTATTAATTACGTGACAACCTTTTATGGCGGTCGGACAAAAGCAAAAGTAGAATCTGAATTTGAAAATGAACTATAAATCTCATGTCTATTAAGAATTAAGGTAATTCTATTTAATGCTTTGATTATTCTATTTATTATGTGCCCATAAAATATATAACCTACAAAGATATTTAATTAAAAAGTAAATTAAAAAAGTATTCATGAAAATGTTTTCATACTTACACATTGAATTCAGATATAACGATATCTTCCGTCACAGTAACATAGAGAAATGTTTAGGTATATAAAAGAACAGGAACAACAGAATAAACGGATTAGTATTAAATATCGCATATAAAAACAAAACTCCAAGTATAAACATTATCTTACGAAATTGCACCGCGATATCACTAAAGAACGCTACCAAACGACTACAAAGTTCATGTTCAATAAAGATATAAGTTAACCCACAGCTATTTATGTACACTGATATAAAATACAAGTGAATTTATTAATTAATACAATGGTACATCAAAGAATAAAATACGACGATCCTTTTTATTTTAAACAATAAAAGTGACACACAGATGACTGTTTCCTACACAGCGGGTGCACTTTATGATTATTAAGCTTCGCATAACCAATAAGATTTTCATCAGGAACTCGAAATACTGCCTTAAAAAATCCAATATCCAACAAGGTTCCTTTGTGCACAATCGAATACATAAAATGAAATTTCTATTCAAGTCAAGAATTTAGAGGTCAAGCTACTAAAACTACTTCGTGGTTTGTTTAAAGAAAATCAATTCTATAAAGTTGTAGGTATTATTATTTGCTGTAAATGTTCTTCAAATGGGACGTTAATTCTACTCTTTGTTCTTAACACATTTGACTAATAAGGGGAACCGTTAAAAGAGTCTGAATTTGCTCTTACACTACAAAAAATACTTTGAATTTTCGTAACCAAAAAACTTAGATACCTAAACGTTAATTCGTTTTACTTCTAATTTTCCAGCGTGCCGGCAAGCGTGAGCCAGAAAAGGAAGTAGAGGCTCAAAAATGGATAGAATCGGTGATCGGGGAGAAGTTTCCCGCTGACCTTCCTTACGAACTGGCGCTCCGTGATGGCATCATCCTCTGCAAGTTGATGAACAGACTGCAGCCTGGCATCATCACCAAGGTCAATGTCTCCGGCGGCGACTACAAATACATGGATAACATAAATCAGTAAGTATAAAAATATGATTTTGATGTAAAGATGGTAACGCATCCACTTTACGACAACAAACTTTCAAGTATCAGTATGACAATATACATGGACTAAATTTTGAACGCATTCTTCATTCAAAGATTAGTTTAAACTTTGACTGTCTATTAATATTAATAAAATACAGCGCATTACATTGCTGAAAATACCTTGTATGGATTTTTCCTTATGAATTAATTAGCAAACGAAGTAAGGTCAACTTTTTTGTATAATTAATTATGCTCGTGTAAACTGGGAAACAAACATATTTTTTCTTTTTATTAGCCTAAGTAAGATTAATCGGCGATATTTCAGCTTTCCAACCTGTTGAAGGTCGAAACCGCTATAATAATATTATACGTTTTTTAAAAATGGTATTTTTTTAAATACTTCCGTTCATTTATAACTTTTTTATTATAGGTTCCAAAATGCGTGCGTCAAATACGGCGTGCCTGACGTTGATTTGTTCCAATCGACCGACCTCTGGGACCAAAAGAACATTGCACTCGTCACACAAACGATCTTTGCTCTTGGAAGAACGGTAAGATGGTTTATAATCAAGCGTGGGCTACAACTGTCAAAACACTTGTATTTTCACGTTAAAAATACTGACAGTGGGACAGAAAAAACATGAGGTCGTAATGGTCTTTTAAAATAGATTTACAATTTAGTACTATAGTGAGTTAAGTTACTTATCGTTTGAATTACGAAAGCGAGATAAGTAGTAAGTTTATGATTAAGTTGTTAGACGGCGATATTAATTTTTGGCTAGTACAGTCGAAGTAACCCCCTCTTCCGTCCACGGCAGTCCGCCAACTTAATGTACTTTAAAAATTACTACGTAGATACATAGTAATCTTACTATGTATAAACTATAGTCTTTTACATCACGAGACAGTACATATGTTTAAAAATTTTACAAACAATGTAACGCAAACAATATAAATGCAACCGTAAATGCATATCTCTAGTGCCTTTGCATTGTTCTCTAAATATAGTCTTGGTGACACAAATGCTTTTAGAAGTTCAATAAAACTGGCATAGAGTATTATAAAGTAGGACCCTGTATTATTTGAAAAAGTTTAGCAGAACTAGAATGGTACAAAAAAATTTTTAGCGACTACTACGGGAAGGTAAATTCTAAATAGAGGTCATTATGTGAGACCTAAATTTTGACAACTAAACGTTTTGCATTTCTTACTGGCTAATATGTATCAAAAAAGAAAGTTGTTGATAACGCAAAACAATCATAGTAACAAAAGTAAATAGAATTTAATTTAGCGACTAATCAATTTATTGATTCATATTATCAATAGATAAACAAGAATAGTTATCTTATATCATAATTATGGTACATCTGTAGACTTGTATTCTATAAAATGTCTGACACGAGTCACTGAACTCTTTCATTTTAGAGTCGACATTACAAGGCATTTCAAATTAGTGGAAATAGGTGCTACAGTCCCTCTATGCATTTTGACAGTCGCCTACCACTACCGAAGACCTAAAAGAAAGGCAAACATAGTTAGTTTAGTACAACGAAGACAGCGTATTTACACAATGTTTTTATAATAGCAGAAAGTAAACTTCGAGCGATGTTTTGTAATGCCAACATATTGATTATGTTCGACACATTTCAATGTTGCGACATTAGAAGATTGCTAAAAAGTTTGTAATGGTATCTTTATGGGCAGTTATGTTTGCAAAATAAGTGTGATTTTTTGAAATCACGGTATTTATTAGGTTTGAGCAATCGTATACGGAGATATACATAAATAGATTACTGATTAAAAATAATAATTCTAAAATCAAGTAGATATAGGAAACATAGGAAGAACTGCTGACCACCGTCATTGACCACCTCTGTTCCCGCCGCTCGTTTGCCCCTTTTTCTCATATAAAAAACTATTGCTGCAGTACTTTGTTTTTTGCCCAAAAAATAAAAATACATTTAATTAGTGAAATATTTCGCGCCTGATATTTTAAGTATAACCTTTTGATTTTATTTCTCCAGGCGTACAAACACCCAGAATGGCGCGGCCCCTACCTAGGACCGAGGCCTGCGGAGGAGAACCGTCGCGAATTTAGTGAAGACGTTCTAAATGCTGGCAAAGCGGTTATAGGTCTTCAAGCTGGGACGAACAAACTGGCCACCCAGTCTGGACAGAACTTCGGTGCGTCACGCAAAATTATCATCGGCAAGTGAAGTGCGAAGAACCAAGATATTTATAAATATATTTAGCTTTGATATGATATTTATTCTTTACTACGATTATCAAATGTATAGGTATCTGAAATAAATGAATATTGTATAATTAAAAAATCTATTGGCAAATGAAATATATATTTTGATGCTCTTTGCAATTAAGTTGCAATTAAATTATTTTTCATTTACGCCACCAATGATGTATGTTTAAAAGTGTTACCATATTTAGATGTAAACTAGTTAGAATACATAAATACTATTTTGTACAGAGAAAGCAATTTTTATTTAAATAAATCAGACTGCTTCCAACTTTTTCTAATAAAATATTTATTTTCAACCATAATGTTTCTTTTCTTGCCTACATACCTATTTGGCTTTGTTGTTGACTTAGTCTTAAAAACATTTTACACCTCTTTACTGATACGATTGCTTAAAACCTGGTGATCGCTTATGATATTTTTTTTATACAAAAAGGCGGCAATTTAGTAAAAGGGTCACCTAAATGCTTGCTTCCAATAGTAATCGACAAGATACTAGTATAATTTCTGACTGATATGCCTATCTGTGATTTTATAATAAACGATAAAACAAAAATCTTCTTACTAGTTACTAGAAAAGCTGAGAAGCGAGTAGAAAAAATAACTATTTTGCCTTTAACATCACAGTTATCTGAGGAGTCATAAAATTATACGTCTACTGTTGGAAAACATATGAACATATATGTAAATTGGGCTACTGAACCCTAAGTAAAGCTAGTTACTGAAGCTATACATATAATAATTAAATCATACTAATATTATGAACGCAAAAGTTTAGATGGATGGCGAGATGTTAATTAGAGTTTGTAGCCAAAGCGGCTGAACGGATTTCGATGAAATTTGACATAGATGTAAAGTATAGTTTGGAAGAACACATAGGCTTACTGAGTTTAGTTTTTGTTTTATTCCACGCGGACGGAGTGGCAGGCGAAAGTTAGTCAATTATAGTTCTAAAAATGCAAGCTGATCCTTCGTTCAGAGTCACCTATCGGAATATTTATAAACCATATGAAATTAATGCAACAAACATTTGACATATTTTCGAACAGATGGCAGCATGTGTTCAAGGTCCTTAGGGAAGTGAAGATGTATTTGTAATGTCAATTTTATTGACGTGAGGAGTGTTTGATGCTGTAATAAAAGAATTCAGATAATTAATGTTTAAAATTAAATACATCAAACGAATATTTGTTCTGTGCGGAACGTTTTCATTGTACTCAGAACATGTAGCTAGCGAAATGAAGAAAGTGTCTAGTTAAAAGAAGTGTTTATTTGCGTTTTAATTTGGAATATTTGCGGGTACAACACTAATGTTAAATAACATTTGAGTTTAGAATGTACTTGTTGTAGTTACTACTTGCTGTTTAGTGTTTATTTCGAAGAATTGTTATGGCCGTAAAACTGTACAAATGTTTGTAAATCAAGCAAGAAAATGATAACATTTGGCTCCGCTAACACTTCGACAACAGTGGAGGACACAGGTGGGTTGAAGTAAACACGATGTAAATACTTCCAACGTTATAAGATGAAGATTTTAATCCGGTGTTATTTTTAGGCGAAGTGAGAAGTATCTGTGAGAGTGTTTGCAGTGATGGGTCCAACGCGACCGTCCAACCTGGGGGCTCTAATCAGAGGCCCCGAATGGATATTGCTTGTGTACTGGATGTAACCCAAACGTTGAACCTAGCTCACAGAAGAAGAGCTTTGGAAGAAGTACGACTGGCTTCGGAGCTGGTTAATGCGAATCTACACCACATTCATGTAAGTACTCATAAAATTATTTAAATCATTATTTAGATTTCACCGTTAATGCTGTTTCATAATTATAGTCAGTCTTATCTAATATTTGTGTATTATGTTAAAAATTATAAAAAACGTATTTGTTTTCTACTAAACCATCAAGTTAGCTATGCTAAACTTATTTTAAGCCCAGTGAAGTCATAATAAAGAATTCTCAGAAATAACACAAAACCACAAAGTTCAGAAAACTAAGAAAACGTAACATCAATGTTGTGTCAACAACACTGTAATTAACTAATTTGTACACTGTCACATTTAATTATTTCTTGTTTAACTTCCATTATAGTTACTACACATGTTATATGATTTTTTTTTATTTCCTTTTTGATAAGCTGTTTCCGTTTTGATAAGTTGAATGGGCAAAAATTGAGGCTAAATTCTAATCTTCTTTTCCTTCCCATTATTTTCTAAAAAAAATTGATTTAGGCTCGATTTGATGTATATAATGTGGCAATACTTATTTCTGTATAATATCCCTATTGTTCAATATAGGTAGGCAAGGCATCTTCTTATATCAATACAAGTGTTTGTAAATTCATCAAAATGACTCGTAAATCACAAAATATCAATACCCAATAACATTTTTTCTTGGTTTTACAACATTGGTTTACTTGTTTAGGCTTCAATAGAACTTACGTTTAATACAACATACATAAAAAAAATATATTTGCGTTAAAAATTGCTATTGCACTTTTGGTTTCAGTTTGAAAAGTTGGACTTTGGTGAGACTAGCGTCTTGGACACATTTTACAATGCAGATGTGGCGCTGGTGGATCTCAGCGCGCAGGTGCAGCAAAGCTCATTGCTGTACCATCTCGGAGTGCGGGAGAGTTTTGACATGAAGGAGAATGTTCTACTCTACAATGATGTTGACCCTGATGCTACATTGAGACTTAAGGTGAGTTGATAATCATCATCATCATCATCATCACCAGCTCACTATACGTCCCCACCGAGGGGCTCGGAGCCTACCCTAATATGGGGGTGACTAGGCCATAGTCAACCACGCTGGCCAAGTGCGGGTTGGTTGACTTCACACATATTTTTGAATTTCTTCGCCGATATGTGCAGGTTGCATCACGATGTTTTCCTTCACCGTAAGAACGTCGGGTAAATTATGTACATATGAAAATTCGAAAAATCGAAAATCACATTGGTACACGGCGGGATTCGAACCCAAGACCTGTAGATTACAAGTCAAGTGTTCAAACCACTGAGCCACCGACGCTCTTATGTGTTGATAATACCCTTTTACAAATGAGGATAAAACTTTTAAAAAGTTACTCTGTAAAAATTGGTACAGTCCCAGAATTTCGCGGTGTTCCTATAACAAGATAAACTCCGTCTCTTACTAATAAACAATAAGGTAGCAGTGACATTGCCAAAAATGGGGTAATAAGATAAAGCAATTTGCTAACTGAACTTTTTTAGTTCAAATATAAATGCTGAATTCTATTATTTATCGTTCTACACCATCATCTCAATGCATACAAAATTATTTTACTATACCCTTTAAAAAACTGCCAAATTCCCTAAGTGTACTTAAAAATTTGTGAATAACACAACAAAATCTATGAATGTTACACCATTTCATTATTTTGACAATATTTCCGTTGAAAACATTGCTTCAATGGCAAGTAATGTTTGTTGACATAATTTACATTTTCATGTGGCAGTGTCCTTACAATAGAGTTAACTCAATGAACACAAATACTATATAATAAAACCACAAATGAAACCAATGTTAAGTAAACAAACAAAGTATTTTTGTGAATGACTTCTTTTTGTGGTACAATTGTTTCTGTCATACTTTGAACAGTTAGTGTTTTGACATGTTATGTGACAAAACGATGGGGACATAAACCAGAAAGTGTTAAGATTGAATGTGGATGGCTACAATGGAAGCGGAAGACCGAAGAAAGTATGGATGCATTGTGTGAAAGAGGATATGCTTAAGAAAGGAGTGGATTTAGATATGACGGCTGTTAGAGATGTATGGAAGAGCAGCATATACTGTGCAGACCCTGAATAAGGGATAAGGGCAAGTGGATGATGATACTTTGAAGTTATTTAATTGTTATTGGCACCTAACATCTGTTAAAAGTGTTGCAGCTGACTTATAAAGGTGGAGTATCTTAGAGTAAATCTGTGGTAAACAAACATGAAAGTTTATCGATAGCCATATATAGTGTAAATGTTTTTGTTCAATGTTGAATTAGGATGCATAAAACGAAATGCAATTCTTGCATCTTGGCGGGGAATCCCCTGTAACATTGTGAGTTGCATGATTTCCTTTTGAAATATAATTATTTAACACTAGCTGTTGCTAGCGACGTCCATGTGAAATATATAAAATAATATAGCCTATGTTACTCACAGATAATTTAGCGTTCTAACGGTGAAAGAATTTTTAAAATCGGTCTAGTAGTTTTTGAGATATTTCAATATATACAACAATACAAATCTTTACTTTTTATAATATTAGTATAAATTTTCTATCTTCAGTAAACCTTTACTCATAGTTGATATTTACACATTTGCATTTGAGATATATTTCAATTAGTTCTGTAACAGAATACACTGAGCATACAAAGGCATTCTATGTATTCAGATGCACTTACAGCATATCTATATAACAGTTATCAAGGCCTTGAACAACAATGTCTCAATAGCGATTACTCTCAATTTCTCAATTGCCGTGTGTGCACTATTGTGCCGACGCTGAGATACACCTGATTCTGTTAGGGCTGCCAACTTAAAAATACTAAATTGTTAAATTAAAGTCGCTAACTTTTAGTGCATTGTTTAAAGTTTTAAAAATATTTCCTACTATAACAAGGCTAATTTCCTCTTGGTTGTTATTTGGCGTATATTACAAAATCGATATATAAAAAATATGTTTATATTAAAACATGTCCTATAATAATTTAGACAATTTAAGACAGTTACTAATGTTATGTAAATAATAAAAAATAAATTTATAATAGTGTAAAAAGGGACAGCCCTAGTGTTTATTGAATTAGTGCCATGAACATTCATGTGGCCAAGAATTTATATTGATTGCCTAGTTTATTTCTAGCGGTCTTCTTTATTCTGTAATTGGACGCTATTTGGCGTTAACGGTCATGGACGTCCGGCTTTAAGGGTTTTGTTGACACGAAAATAGTCAAATGATGCTGGTTAATTATTTATATACTGTGACTGTCTTAGAAAATGCTCAAAATAACGTCAGAAGTATGAACAATTAGAGGCTGTCTCTTATTTAATTAACTAGCTGTTCCCTTACGACTTCATCCGTATAAAATTATGAAAATTTAATTTTATTGTTTACATGTGTCAAATTGTCAATTGCAAATGTCAAAATGACATGACATGATGACAAACCATAGCAACTATACTTCCTTGATGTTGGCAGCATCTTATGGTCTCTTTTCCACATTAGGGTTTTTATACAAAATATTTACCCCCTAAGTTTAATTGCGTGAAAATATATAGCCTAAAGCGTGAGGTTAGTGTAGGGTTTTTTATTAAAAAAAGAATTCAAAAATATGCTGTAATTGCTGACATCTTAGGCAACAAAGAAGTGGGTGTTTACGCTTTATTATAATAGTATAGATGATTCTATGACGAACAATTAATTGCTTTAATTAACAGGCCTAAATATGTTTGGTAATTTCGAGGGAATTTCCAAACGACACATTGAAATGGGTGCTGTTAATTTAATATTTCCAACAAAGAAATCTAAATGAATATGAATAGTTAGAAAACTTAACTCAAATATTTATAACATCGATATCCAATTGAATGTTACAAAACCAGCTTCTCTTGTATAAACCAGCGTTCCTTTTGTATCTATTTAACTGCAAAAAATGTCATTGGTATGCTTTTCATTACACTTTTATTGTTTTGTTTGGATCCGGGTATGTTTGAAAACTACAATAGGAATTATAAGAGAATAACATTTGTTAAATATTGGGTCTGGCTATTAAGTCGTCGTCAGATAATATGCGTCTCCAACGAGGTGTTTGGTGTGAGGTGTAACTACTAAATAGACAAATTAAATAGATTAAGGCCTTAGTCTAGCTGGTTTATTGAAGATTGGTTGACGTCACACATCTTGGCATTGATTTGCAAATATGTTCACCATAAGAACGCACGAAAAATCCAATTATTGAAAAACGTCAACATAAAAATTCGAGTGGTTACAATATACGTCACCAATGCTTATTTGCATATCGTCATATAGTTTGAATTAAGTCAGGTATTTAGCTTCACGAGAATGCTAATGGGATTTTCCGAATTGCAGATATCGCTGCCGAATTTCCTGTTTGTATCGTACAAGTTGACTGACGCAGGGACATGTGTGACCACCAATCCGGCAGCTACTAAATTCAAGGGTGAAGAGACAGCGGATCCTAAACAACATCTTACGTTACGTCTCAAGAATATACTACAAGATGTCGAAGTACAAACAAAGTAAGTATAACCTATCAGTTGTTGGTAGCGACTTTGTCTGCGTGGAATAAAAAAATAATAATAAAAACTGTAGCCTATGACACTCACTGATAACGTAGCTTTTTAATGGTGGAAGAATTTTTGAAATCGACGCAGTAGTTTTTTAAGTTATTTTAATACAAACAAAAATAAAAATCTTTTCACTTTACAATATAAGTATAAACTAGCTGTCCCTCGCAAATTCGTCCGTGAGAAGTGAAAATAAATTGTAGCATGTTACTCAGTAAAAACGTAGCTTTTTAATGGTGAAAGAATTTTTGGAATCAGCTGAATAATTTAAAAATACAAATCTTCTCTTTATAATTTTAGCATAGATGAAGAAAGCGTTGTTTTAAAGTAGGGTTTTCTAATAGCGTAAAAAAGTCAATATTAGTTTCATTCTCAGACTGTATTGTCTTTTTTATTTCCATTTTTAGAGCTCATTTGCAAGAAAAGTTTCTATCAGATCTCCGTAAAGCCCGCGAGACATACAGCGGTCAAGAATTGGCTAACATGTTGCACGCGATGCGACGCCGCTTAGACGACCCGGCTGTACTCTCCGGCGACACTATACTCAATATGCTGATATCGTACAGGGAGATACAGGATTATGACGCGATAGTACAAGTCGTGGATGATCTGAAAACCATCATGAATAGAAAGAATTACGTCAATATGCCGATTATTAGATTTATGTACGCGTTTGCGATGAACAGGTGAGTTACAAAAGCACAGTATAAAATTCATTTAAAATACACAGAGTTACTTTGAGTCTATTTGTAAGTTAAATGTTCTAAATAACTTATACGTGATACTCTATATTAAGTTTTATTTTACTTCTCTTAGCGGTAATAAATAAATTAAATTAGCGCTATAATTATCGGTTTTGTGGCTTTTACCCATAAACATGAATCACAATTTGTTTTTGTATAAGCTTGCCTGCAAATAACATGCACAATAAACTTATAGTCTTAAGTTTTTACCAACAATTTCGTTTATATATGTTAATTTTGATATATTTCAGAAGAAACAAGGAAGGTGATCGAGAGAATGCTTTAAAAGTGTGTGTTAAAGCGTTAGAGAAGAAAGAAAATCGATTTCCCGACATGCTGTGTCTCTGCGGTCGTATTTATAAGGACAAATTTGTAGAATCTCAACATACTGATATGGAAAGCTTGAAGAATGCAATCCATTGGTAAGATCATAGCAATATTAACGTAAAGGTTTACAACCAAACTAGCCTTATGTCATCATCTTTCTCCTTATCCTACTCCTGTAGGGTCGGAGTAACAGGTTTTTGTCCTCCACATAACTCTATCATACGTCATTTCAGTCATCACTCCCTTCTTGATCATGTCACCTTTCACGCAAACCATCTCTTTCTAGGTCTACCTCTATGTAACTCCACACTCATAACTAACGTTCTTGTAACATGCCATTCATGACATGCCTCATAACATGCCATACCATGCTAACTTTTTAATATTTACTTTTTACTGCTGAGGCTACCAAACAAGCCTTACATATCTTCATGTAATAGCACAGGCAAAAATCTGCAAGAACTCTTAGGGTATTTGAAATTTCACACAGGCAAACGCGATATTTCTGTTTTTAATAAAAAAGGTTACAGCAGTATAACAGTAAAACTGATTATTTTGATGTTTTTATTGAATTTTGTTTCTGTTGAATAGGACTTGGCTTGTTTTAAATAATTAAATGTATTTCCAGGTATAGACAGGGTTTTGAAGTGCAGCCAAATGAATATGCGGGTATAAACTTAGCGACGCTGTTAGTTATTGCGGGGAACGATTTCAAAGACTCACAAGAGTTGCAGCATATTGGTAAGGAGTTAATTTAAATACTCCGTTGAGAAAGAATATAGCGTTGAGCAGATCAGATTTATCGTATATACCATTATAATAAAGTGTAACACTACTTAGTTATGTAGAATGTCAACGATTATAGCATATTTAAAAAAAATCCTACACATACGACACGCTTTAGGTTATTTTCACGCCAGTAAAATTAGAAGGTAAATATTGAAAAAAACCTTCACGAGTGAAAGGAACTACAGTGACAATGGGCATCGTTTCCATTTTGTCATTTGCAATTGAATATTTGAATAAGGAAATAGTTTTACAAATGTCTTAGAAGCGGTTCAACGAGTAGATTCAGTAAGATATACTGAAATTCGGCAAAGATCTAAAATATTGTCTGGAAGAACACATAAGCTAATATACATTTATTTAATTCCTCGCATGCGGAGTCGCGGTCGTCAGCTAATAATGATAGTAATTGGTACAAATTTATTTCCAGGTCGAGTTTTAAATCACCTAATAGGTAAAAAGGGCAGCTTGTCCTCTCTGAAGGATTACTGGGATGTGGCAACATTCTTCGAGATCTCTGTACTAGCTCAGGACTACGTGAAGGCTATTCAGGCAGCTGAATGCATGTTTAAACTGAAACCACCGAATTGGTACCTCAAATCAACTATAGGGAATATCGAATTAATTGATAGGTATGTTTATTGAAAATTGAACCTTATGTGATGTGGTTAAAGCTCATTTTAAAGCGTATTTTAGGAGTAAGAACCCATTGTGGTTAGCTAGCCCCTTGTATGTATTGAATAGGCTCCAAAACTAGTGAACAGGTTTCAAAAATTCTTTTGCCAATACAAAGGCATATTTTACATCTATGGGAAGGGTAAGGATATGACAGAAAATATAAGACATACTCTTTGTCTTCCAGACGAAGTTAAAGGTTAAATAAATTGATTTAATTATTTATATTGTTTTAGGTTTAGAAAGAAAAGCGAAGAAACATCACCGGAACAGCAAGTTTTTTCATTTTGGATGGAATTCTTTGTAGAAGCAACTAAACCTACATGTGAAAATATTATTAGATTTCCGGTAAGACCAAATTTAAATTCTTTTTTTTCTAATGTTCTGAAGACACTATGTCCTACGTTTTATTTATCTATCTATACCAACATTATAAAGAGGTTATATACTAATATTAGAGACAGTTTGTTTGATTGTATATATTGAAATAACTGAAAAACTACTGGGCTGATTTTAAAAATACTCTCACCGTTAGAATGGTAATTTATCTGTAACATATATTTTTTAATTTCTCGCAGATGAAGTCGCGAGTAACAGCTACTTTTTTAAATTTGGGATAAATATTATATAATACTAGCTTACGCCCGTGACTCCGTCCGCTCGGAATTAAAAAAAACTAATGCAATTAGCCTATGTGTTCTTCCAGGCTGTCCTCTACATCTATACCAAATTCGATCAAAATTTGTTCAAATGTTTAGGCTGCAAACTCTAAGAAACATTTAAAGACACTTCAGTTAGTAACTATTTGTTTACAACATTCGTCTTACGTGCTAGTCATGTAACCTAATGACATTATCTTTTACGTCCACCCGTGACATACGAAGTCGAGCCGTTACATGCCAGATACAACGCCACATATTCATCCATCTAAACTTTCGCATTTATAATATTAAGTATAGTATGATTTTGTTTTTAGGTATTAATTCTAGAGACGACAAAAATCTACATGCCGTCATATGTGAATGTTAATATGGGGGCGGAACAAAAGTCTGTTGAAATCTTCAATTTGTGCCTGGACTCGATGCGCGGAGACTGCAGACAGGTGCATCGCTGGCTCTTCACCTCCGACATGATCCGCACTTACAGGTGTGTCGCCGTCAAATTGTGAACCTAGTCAATTTATAATGCGCCTAGTCAATCATAATATTATAATCTATACTAATATTATTTGGAATAAATCAAAAACTACTGGACCGAATTTACAAATTCTTTTAACATTAAATAGCTACTTTATCGTTGAGTATAGGCTAGTTTTAAATTACATGCGGGCGAAGTCGCGAGCAACAGCTAGTCATATATTTTTAGTATTGGTTTTAACAGTTTATACAGTTGTACCTTTATAAGAGAGAATTGGATAAGTGAAAAACCCAGTTTGAGTATATCCCACACGGAATTTCCAAAGTTTACCGACAATTTTAATATGACTGTTAAGATTACAGACTGACGGAATTCAGAATTAGTAGGCAAAATATTTACATTGTTAATTTGTAGTGAAAACTTCAATAAGTGTTAATATTACATTCCAATATAGATACAAGATAATAAACATGCCAAAGATGATAATCATTATCAATATTGATTACTTCTGTAATTAAATACTTAACGAGTTAAGGAAAATAATGGAACAATACATAAAACATATTTAATAGATATGTTACCGTAAAGTATTTGATTCTTTGGACAATTTTTAATTTTAAAATCAAATATATTCTTTGGATGAATATGAATAGATGGATATTTATATTATGTCACCGTAAAACTATTAATTCAACTTCAAAAACGTTCTTAATTCGATTGTTATATTTTTATGTACCATCGATTATAAGGGTAGGCAACGCATCTGCAATTGCGGATGGCTATGGGCAGCGGTCGCTTCGCCATTTTGGCGGATTCAGGTGGCTGGTTGATCGTTTGCCACCTTATATTATAAAAAAAAGATTATCACCCATTCCCTTTTTTTTTAGTTTGACGCTAGTTATTTTTTTAATTCCAGTTTATACAAACGCGACGAGCGCTGTCTGTTTCTCTACGTGAGTGAGAATTCGGACGATTTCCAAATATTCCTGCCGTCGCAGGCGTTCCGGCAACACTTGTACGACCAGCTGGGGGAACTCACCGCAGACCATGAGAAACTCACAGATTTGGATACCAGTGTTATGCAGGACCAACTTAAGGTATACAAATAAATAGGAATATCATACTATTGTTATAAATGATTGTTTGGTTGTACGGATGGATGTTTGTTACTATTAATAGACAACTTATTTAATTGATACTGTCGCTTTTAACTCAGAGCAATACTTCTCGTCAAGACTCAAGTTACGCGCCAATCTATCCATACTTCTAGTGACATTGACAGCTGTCAGCTAGGGACGTGCCGTTTATGCCGATAATCTAGAGTTGCGCCAATTCTATAGCACGGTCCTAATTTTATTCCTAACACTATCTATATCCAAAACTGCTTAATGGATCAATAACTTATTTTTTTAGTTTAAAAGTTAGTCTTAGCTTAGTCTTACTAGTCAGAAGCGTGGGAAGGGAAAGTTGGTTTGATAGGATATGATAGTAAGTTGATTTGGTAGATTTGATAGGGGAAATAATCTTTTTAGGGACATCTCCTCCTCCGTCAAATGAGGGTAGACAACACATCTGTAATCATGTATGTCTGGGCAGCGGTCGCTTTGTTTTTTCGGTGAATAAAGGTGGCCGCTCGCTCGTTTGCTACCTTATAAAAAAGCAACCCTTTTTTTAAATATATCTCTGTCGAAGTCGCAGGCGGTATTCAGCTATTAGAATATATATAATAAGCATGTTTGTTGCACCAGTTTGAGTACGAATACGACGGCAACAAGCGCGTGGTGCTGGGCAAGGGGACGTACGGCGTGGTGTACGCGGCGCGCGACCTCAACACGCAGGTGCGCATCGCAGTGAAGGAGATCCCCGAGCGCAACCTCGGCGATGTGCAGCCGCTGCACGAGGAGATCCTGCTGCACTCGCAGCTGCGCCACAGGAACATCGTGCAGGTATAGCATTGCTGGCACTGTGCTACTGGTACAACATCGGAAATGTCAATTATGTTCTGGAATGGTCTGTCTTCAACGCTATTTCTAAACCAGCCCCTTTAGACAAAGTGACATTCGATTATCCCTGTCGCTATTCTAAAGTCAATTTGTCTAAGGGGCAGTACGGCTTGGAACGGGCGCACACCTTTGACTAAACTATCGTACAACTGTTGTGCGATTGTCGATTGTTTCACAGTCAATTCAACTCTTTAGTTGCACAACTAAAAATTGAGTAGTGTGCGCACCTCCAAGCAAGACTAAATGGTTGTGCGATAGTTTAGTCAAAGGTGCTCGCACGCTTTAGGGTCCTTAAAAACAAGTGTGCAATTTCCTTAAAGGAACGCATCTGTGATTCCTCTAATATTGCGGATGCCTATAGACGTTGATTAACTTTGTGTTTCCGCTACTCGTAACTTACTTTAAAAAAAAAAAAGAAATTAAAACACCTATTAAAATTTAATTAATCAAGACATGACAGAGGGAATGAGCTACAACAAGTAATTTTAATTCTATTAGTAAATATCATTTGTCTATTTCGGGACCTCGCCTATCATAAAGTTTAATTCTTGATTTTCTGTATTCGCTTGTGTTAGTTTTAATAGTTATTAATTATTATTAATTGTTGTACTGTTTGTAAAGTCTTATAAAGTTTCTAACAATTGTATTTCTTCTAACAGTACTTGGGATCCATATCAGAAGATAATTATTTCAAGATCTTTATGGAGCAAGTCCCCGGAGGGTCGCTGTCCGCCCTCTTACGCTCCAAGTGGGGACCACTGAAAGAAAACGAAGCAACCATTGCTTATTATACTAAACAAATATTGGAAGGTAAAGACCACAATCTTACTATCTCACTAATATTATAAATGCGAAATTTTAGATGGATGGATGGATGTAGTTTCTAACCTAAACTGGTGAACAAATCTCATTGAATTGACATGTAGAAGATAGACTGGAACAAGACATATGCTACTTTTATTTTTTTTAATTCCACGGAAGCGGAGTAGCGGGCGAAAGCTAGTATCTACTAATATTATAAACAGGAAAGATTTATATTTTTGTATGTATTGAAATAACTCAAAAACTACAGTGGCCGATTTCAAAAAATCTTTTACCATGAAAAAGCTACGTTGTCTTTTTTTAATTTCACGCGGACGGAGTCAAGGGCGAAAACTAGTGATTTATATTTGAAACGTTACGAATAAAATGTATTAATTTTCAGGTTTAAAATATCTACACGATCAAAAAATCGTCCACCGTGATATAAAAGGGGATAATGTGTTGGTAAACACTTATAGTGGTGTGGTTAAAATATCTGACTTCGGTACATCCAAACGATTAGCAGGACTTTGCCCCTCCACTGAAACATTTGCTGGAACACTGCAATATATGGCACCAGAGGTCATTGACAAAGGTCTCAGAGGTTATGGAGCGCCCGTGAGTTTTTTTAATTTTATTTTTGGAAATGTATACCAATTGCATGTTTAAAATACACAATAAAAAAACAAAAAACATTGATGATGCCAGCGCTCATATTTTTTTAAAATAACAGAAATGTCCAATCAAATCATTTTCACAATACGTGTAACTATAAATTAGAGTGTACATATAAATTAAAAATTAAAATCTATACTTTTAACTATAGACTATATTGAATTTTATGAGGACAAATAAAAATAAAAAGTTTCAATCGTCCCCTTATCACCAGTAAGGGGACAGATGGAACCGTTAAGCAATAAAAACATCAACCGTCCCCCTCGTCGTATAAGGTGGGACAGATGAAACTTTTTATTCTTATTAAGTTAGGAAGAATCCATTTTATAGTATAGAGCAAATATTATTTTACAGTTAGTGAATATTGAAATCTTTTTTAAATGTTGTGATGATTTTTACAGGCAGATATTTGGTCGCTGGGATGTACGGTGGTTGAAATGGCAACAGGAAATCCACCATTCATGGAATTAGGGTCACCACAAGCTGCAATGTTTAAAGTAAGTATAACTTACTAACTAACAAATGACAAAGTTTAGATGAATGGATGGATGTATCGCAACTTAAAATGGTCCAACGCATCTTTATGAAATTAGGCACAGATGTAGTACACAGTTTCAAATTTATTGTTTTTTCATTAACTTATTTATGTAAAAACTCAATATTTATATATTACAATCGTTTAGAAGAACGTATATCTTAATAAAGATTTTTATTTTCCGCGCAGACGGAGTCGCGTGCGATAGCTAGTATTTTTTTAAATACTCAGCGATATTAATGTAATATTAACATTTACAGGTGGGATATTACAAAATGCATCCAGAAATCCCGAGCGAGTTGTCTCAGAAAGCTAAGAACTTCATATTGCGTTGCTTCATACCGGAACCGGAAAAACGAGCCACGGCCGCTGAATTACTTGAAGATTCTTTCCTATCTGAGTAAGTAAATACATTTATTAATTATAAGAAAAAAACAATATTTTGCTTTTTAATTCTGTAAAGATAAAATGAAACTAAAAGTACTGACAGAACAAAACGCTATAAATCCCGGTACACACTTGACCAGTACAGTTAGACTGTACTGGACAGTCACAATATGTGTGCTCTTACTGGGGCCATTTGTGTTTACACTATGCCAATTATTGAGCGCCACTGGCCAACTGTACTGGCCAAGTGTAAACTGGACAATTTCCGCCGGTATAAGTGGAACTATACTTTAACTAAGGCCTAGTCATCCTAACTAGGGTAGGCTCCAAGCCTCGCAATGGGACGTAAAATGTGCTGGTTATGATGATACAATCTTTAGTGTTAATATTTGTTTTCCTATACAGAAAGAAGAAATCATCAACTCGTTTGGGGAACAGCGTGGATTACAGTCGCAGTATCTCCGTGCCGGCGGACAAGGCGCGCCCCGTCGCCCACAAGAAGATCTCCGAGCCCAGCATACCCAACCTGCCCAGCTCGCCAGAGATAGAGTGAGCCTTAACACAATACAATACAGTACACTTTTGTTCAACACTCGCATGGTAACCCTTAAATGTATGATGCATTTATACTTTCTTTCAATAGACTATTTTGAAAAAACTTTTTTTTTATATTTTTCCCTTAATTTAAGTTCAATTTGTGATATAAAAAATCGTGTATTTGAGGGTTATGGTTTAGATGTTTAATTGTATGCGATAAACGATTATTCTTTATTTTTATTACGTCCTAATATACAAAGAGATACAAAACATATATAGAGGAGGCATAGTTGACACTTGGATTTTTAATATAATCTTACTAACGCTATAAAAAGATCCTCGAAAATTACGTCAATGTAATTAATTGTATTTAAATGAATTGTCAGTATTTCATTAAATATTTAAAATTTATTTTGTAACACTTTTTATAACAAAAAATAGAGCTTGTAATTATTTTGTAAAATGTTTTATTACACTAAACTTGACAACTGATGTAATACTTTTCAGATAAAGTACCGGTGAAAATATGTTGTTAACTGCCTTGTCTGTATATTTTTAAAGTCTTTGTATTTTAATTATTAAGATTGAGAAATGATCGTTCATTGCATATTTCTATCTTCAAATGAACAATGATTCTTCCTATTTTGTTAGCATGGTTTCAATTAATGTAATAAAATACACAAATATCAATTTTGTTTGAAAATCATATTTTCCGCGCATCGTGACGTTTGCTGTCATATCATTGTATGGTGAGAGAAGGGTTGATGTGGGCTGTTTTGTATTAACATTTGTTTTTTATTACATGTTTTTTTTCTTATCAGCCATCAATTCACATTAAAATCACCACAATTATAAACAGTTTAAAAACTTTAGTAAACGCTTACTATAGAAAAAAATAAGCAATAAACTCACGTTCTTACAAAGTAAATCCACCGACACTAACATAGTGTTTTAAAGCCTTACACAATAGTAATAAATTTAACACCTTGATATTACATAAGTAAATTTGTATAAAAATATTTGAGAGCGTAATCAGTAATATAACATCGCTTCGCACCTAAGTCGTTGTATTTGTTTCCCCGGTCAAGGGTGAAAACGATCCGGTCTAATCCGACCATCACTAGGACTGCCTCGTCGATGCTCTCGCCGATACTCATCTACCCGCCGGACTTGACCACCAGCAGGTAACTACATTTTACACACAATTATCTATGCTCATAGAATGTACTCAAGGGTTACTCAAAACCTATAAGGAGATTTCGCATTACGCCGATACAAAAATTGTCGATCGGTCTAATGGATAATGAGGATATCTGGGCTATTAAAAGGTGGCTATTGCAGCTTTTTTTTTAGAAAATCTATAAAACTTACTTTGGGACGAATATTGAAACGGAATTTAAATTCTAACAGCTTCTTATGATAAGGCCACCCTTAAACTCCAAATTCCGTACCAATTTTGATGTATATCAGATTGTAGGCGGAGTTTACGAAATGATGTATTTAAGATTCGTGTAGACATAAGGCCGTTAGACATTTATTAATTTATTTATTGAGATATACCAACAGGACAAAATTATGACACACTAGCGTGAAATTATGAAAATTTTATTTCATTGTTTACATTTGTCAAATTATCAATAGCAAATGGCAAACTGACATGACATGACAAACCTTAGCAATCTTGTTTCCTTATTGTTGGCAGCAACTTATGGTCTCTTTCCCACATAAGGGATTTTATTCAAAATATTTACCCCCTAACTTTATTGGCGTGAAAATATATAGCCTAAAGCGTGACGCAAGTGTAGGGCTTTTATTGAAAAAAGAGTTATTCAAAAATATGCTGTAATTGCTGACATCTTAGGCAACAAAGAAGTGTGTGTTTACGCTTCATTATAATAGTATAGATAAACAAATACAAATAATACAAATACAAATACTTTTACACAATACAATAAGTAACATGGACATCTTATTTTAGAAAAGTTACAAGCAACAAAGGTCTTGTAACACTTTTTTTTGTATCGACAGGATGTCGTCAGTTAGCTGTTATAATTTAATTTAACTTTTACCTACTGGTTCAGATATCCTTGTCGGTCTATACATAATATAGTCTGATAAATTCCGACTTGGGAACGGAAGTTCCGGGTCAATTGAATTTGTTGCACTATAAGTTATATTTTTATTAAATGTAATTAAAATCAAGTAAATTCATGCATTCTATGATCATTTATTAAATGTGGAATGTTCACTATCACGGTGTCTTGCTCACAATGCTTTTTATCTTTGAAGCACAAAACATACATATTTTCAATTGTTTGAATAACTAAATAATTTACTAACGCTAAATTATTTAACTAAAATTACTTTAAATTTAACTATTATATTATTCTCTGTATTGAAATACTAGAAATACATGATGATAGGGGAACTTTTTTTCTTTTTCAGTACTATGCCTAACACACCTTCTACAGAGGAGATGGATAACAGCGACACTCTTCTTAATAGAAGAAGTTCTTCTGGTGGATTGTTATCACCTGAGGTATTTATTTCTATTTAATTCTGTTAAAATAAACAAAATTA